TGTTGGCATGTTTGGTTGAGGTTTCGAGGGCCTCGGGTTGAATTCAGGAGGTTGTCGGATCAAAGATGGGATTTGAGGAAGTGCTGAAGAATTCCTTGAGCTGTCATAACCGCACATGCAGAGTGGGGACCGCAGGTGCAAGGTCCGCAGAAGCGAGGGAGCAGCCGTAGAAGCGGCCAAGGCCAAGGAAGCAGGAACTGCAGGTGCGCACATGGGACCGCACCTGCGAGATCGCAGATGCGGGATCTGACCGCATAAGCGATTTTCGAGGGTTAAGTGAAAACCGCACCTGGGATGAATTTTCCGCAGGTGCGGCGTCGCAGAAGCGATTTATGGACCGCAGATGCGGAAGTTCTGGGTAGAAAGTCTATAAGATCTCCTTCGTGAATTTCAGTCCATTCTTCGCCATTTTTTGGACGAGTTTGGAGCTTAGAGCTGTGATTTCAAGAGGGAATTGAGAGGTATCAGTGAGGTAAGTTACTTTGCTTTATATTTTGTGTTTGTGATGATTTTTCCACTGTTGAATCATAAACTTAGTGGGGGATTTTGGGGTGAAGTTGAAGGGATAGGGCTTGAGTCTTGGAGAGCTTTGATTGGGGATTTGATGGGTCATTTGAGGTCAAATTTTGATGATTTTGGTATGAATAGACTCGGGAGTGAAAGGAGTTTCTAGTTTTGCGATTAGATTCCTATATGTGGGCTTGGGGGCCGGGTTTGAGTCCAATTCGAGATTTTTGGTCTAATTTGATTATTTTCGTGTGGAATTCATTCCTTTAGCATATATTGATGATAATATATTGATTTTGGTTAGATTCGGAGCATTTGGGGGCCGAGTCGAGAGGCAAGGGCATCGCGAGTTAGAATTTTATCCAGTTTGAGGTAAGTAATGATTGTGAATCTTATCCTGAGGATATGAAACCCCGGATTTCACATCGTTTCACTATTTTGAGGTGACGCGCATGCTAGATGACGAGCGTGAGGGCGTGCGCCTTTGGGGGTCGTGACTTAGTCCCTCTCGAAGCCACTATTAAGTTGCGTATTTGACTGGAAACTATTTGATACTTATGTATTTTAGAAAGTATTACTATGTTGTCTGCTGAATGCCATATTTGGGCCTCGTGCCAAGCTGTTGGACCCTTAGGGGCTTTTTACTACTATTTCCTCACTGTTTTTTATTTAAGATCTATACTCGGTCATGCTGTGTTTACTGATTTCATAACTCAGTCTTTATTACTCCGTTTTGATGCATAAAATGATATTTTGTGCTGAGCACCCTTTTTATTGATAGCTCGAGTGGCTTGAGAGGCTTCTGACTAAGTGAGACCGAGGGCCTATGTTGTTAGGATATCATGGGATTGGGCTGCGCGCCGCAACATATTGTACTGATTTGTGATATATGAGAGGCTGAAGGGCTGACTTATTATGCCACGAGATGGCTTGTGTTGTAGGCGCCCCTCCGGAGTCTGTACACCCCTAGTGAGCGCGGGTATCCTGAGTGAGTGATATGATGTTGCCCGATGGGCTGTTCTTGATTCATGTTGAGCCCGAGAGGCTGATTACGAGTGATTGTGAGGTTGCCCGAGAGGCTGATTACGAGTGATTGTGAGGTTGTCCGAGGGGATAATTTTGAGTGATGTTATGCCCGATGGGAGGTTTATAATACATGTTTTGCCCGAGGGGCTATTTATGATTTTCATCACTTTTCTCTAAACTTCATTAAACATCTATTGAAATTATTGTAAAAATGTCTTCAAATGATTTTTTTATTGAAAATGGATTTTAAACGAGATGATTTGACTGTATTCTATTTTGAAGGCAGGTTGTACTTACTGTGATTTCATGACGTGGATTTATGTGTTTCTTACTGCTCAGTCTTTATTTACTTTTATTACTTAGTGAGTTGGTGTACTCACATTACTCCCTGTATTGTGTGTGCAGATCCAAGATTTGTTGGACGTGATAGCGAGCGTTGCTCTTTCATCCATCGCGGGTATTTGGAATCGGCAAGGTAGTTGCATGGCATTCACATCCTTGCTATTCTCCCTCTTATCTTACTTAGACTATATTAGTGTTTTCTAGATTGCAATAGTCTTAATTGTATTCAGACAGTCCTTAGTAGATGTTCATGACTTGTGACACCCTGATGTCGGGCCTTGGTTTTCTTTCCGCACTTGTTATTTAGATTTATGTTGTGAAATTTTATTAATTAATAGCTTGAAACATATTTATTATGAAATATCGATTTGTTGTGGGATTGTGTCGGCTGGCCTAGTTTCATGATAGGCACAATCACGACGGTGGTCGATTTTGGGGTCATGACAAGTTGGTATCGAAGCTTAGGTTACATAGGTCTCACGAGCCATGAGCGGGTTTAGTAGAGTCTTGCAGATTAGTATGGAGACGTCTGTACTTATCTTCGAGAGGCTGCAGAACCTTTAGGAAAAGCTTCGCATTCTTGAATTCTGGTCGTGCGAATCTGTTGATTCTGGTAACTAAACTTTTGTTATTCTATTCTCTCACAGATGGTGAGGACACGTGCTACCGGTCAGGATGGATAACCACCAATACCATTAGTTAGGGCCACTAGAGGCCGAGGCTGCGGTCGAGGCCGTGGTAGGGGCAGGGGTGTAGCCCGCACAACAGCTAGGGCAGCACCCGTAGATCCACCACCCGCCCCAGTTCATGATCAGGTCCCAGTTGCGGACGCTCCAGCAGGACTAGCTCAGACACCGGCTGTGCCTAGTGTTATCCCATGCCTTCAGGAGGCCCTAGCCCAGATTTTGTCAGTATGTACTGGCTCAGGCGGTCTTATTTACTACGGCCGCAACTACTTCTCAGGTCGGGGGAGGCACTCACACTTTCCCCGCTCGCACACCTGAGCAAGTTGTACAGGGACTTCAGACACCGAAGGCACCTCCAGCCCAATCGATTGCAGCTGCTCAAGACTATATAGATCATGTTATGCTAGAGGACGAGCAACGCAGATTGGAGAGGTTTGGGAGACTCCAGCCTCCGTCATTTAGTGGTGCTGAGAGTGAGGATGCACAGGGTTTCTTGGATAAGTGTCAGAGGATGCTTCGGACCGCAGGTATTCTGGAGACCAGTGGGGTCTCATTCACTACTTTCCAGTTCTCCAGGGTTGCACTTGGTTGGTGGGAGGCTTACGAGAGGTGTAGGCCGGTTGGCGCAGCGCCCCTTTCTTGGCAGCAGTTCTCCATTCTCTTTCTAGAGAAGTTTGTACCTGAGTCTCGCCGAGAGGAGCTGCGCAGGCAGTTCAAGCAGCTTCGTCAAGGTGATAGGTCTATTACACAGTATGAGATGCGGTTCTCCGAGTTGGCTCGTCATGCGGTCTGGTTGGTTCCCACAGACCGAGAGAGGATCAGGAGGTTTATAGATGGCCTCAGTTTTCAGCTTCAGTTGCTTATGACCAGAAAGAGGGTGTCTGGTGCCACTTTTGATGAGGTTGTTGACATAACTCGACAGATTGAGATGGTTCGTGGTCAAGAGAGAGTGCAGAGGGAGGCCAAGAGGCCTCGTGGTCAGGGTGGATTTAGTGGTAATCCTCACGGGGGTCAATTTCAGCACGGTAGAGGCCGTCCATTCAGGCATGCTTAGTCAGCTCGCCCAGTTTATCGTGGGGCATCATCGGGCTATGGTTCTCACAGTTCTCATCAGGTCCATTCATCACTTAGTTCCCTTCAATCCCAGAGTTCGTCTCGTGCTTAATCAGTTTAGGGCTCTTCCATGCCAGGTTCTTCTACTAGTCATCCCAGTTCTAGGGGTTCCTTTCAGTCCCCGTCTCCAGCACCAGGGGGTTGTTATGAGTGTGGAGAGTTGGGGCATATGTGGAGGCAGTGTCCTCGTTGTCATGGGGGTCCGCCTCAGCAGAGGAGTCAGCCATCGACTTCAACACCAGGTACTTTACCACCCACCCAGTCAGCTAGAGGTGGAGGACAATCAACTAGGGGTTGCCCAGAGGGGGAGGTCGATCAGGTGGTGGTCAGGCCCGTTTCTATGCACTACCAGCCAGACCAGATGCTATTGCTTCAGATGTTGTGATTACATATATTGTCTCAGTTTGGCACAGGGATGCCTCTGTGATATTTGACCCCGGTTCCACTTTTTCATATGTGTCATCATATTTTGCTTGTTATTTGGATACGTCCCGTGAGTCTTTTGTTTCATTTGTTCCTGTATCTACTCCGGTGGGTGATACTATTGTTGTGGACCGCGTATATTGGTCATGTGTGGTGACTATTGAGGGTTTGGAGACCCGAGTGGACCTTTTGTTGCTTTGTATGATTGATTTTGATGTGTTATTGGACATGGATTGGTTATCACCGTATCATGCTATTTTGGACTGCCATGCTAAGACAGTAATGTTGGTTATGCCAGGTGTGCCACGGATTGAGTGGCGAGGTTCGATAGATTATGTTCCCAGTAGAGTGATCTTATTTTTGAAGGCTCAGTGGATGGTTGGGAAGGGTTGTCTTTCTTACTTGTCCTTCGTGAGGGATGCCAGTGCAGAGACTCCTATAGACATGTGATTTTTGATCCTCCCCAAGATTTTACATATTTTAACATATAAATATTTAGTTTAGGCTTAATATCGCCATTTCAATAAGTTTTGACTCTTTTACTTTATTTTTTATCACAAAAAATAAAAATTATAAAAAAATCATTCATTTTCATCTTTAGGTTAAAGTCAATTAGTATATTTATATTTATAGTATTATAACATTTGAAAATATAAAAATTAGTTTCACTTTTAGTATCTAGTTTTATATTAGTTTATTTTAATTAAGAATGATTTTTACACTTTATAGATACATTGCATTTTTTTGGTCTTCTTAGCCTAGATTCAAACCCAAAAGACATGGTCCAACCCAATTTCCTGAAAAAAGGCCCAATTTCGGATAGCCCAAAATATTGAGACTAAATCAAAAAGAAGAAGCGAGACTAAAAAAAACGGCAACAACATTTGAAAGAAGTGAAGAATGAAGGCAATCTTTCATTCGATTCCTAAATTCCAAAGTGAAAAACGGACAAGAGAAACCATGGCAGGGGAAAAAATGATGAAATAGAAAGAGAATAAAGAGAGTGGAAAGGAAGGGATAATCTATTAAATTGGAAGTTTAATCTTTCTCCATAGCTAGATTTTAACTTCTTCCACCATTTAGAACACCCATTTTTCAGATTCTTGCTTTTCTCATCACATATAGACACAAACACCCACCTCCTCAACCCAAAATTGAAAACCAATTAGCCTTCATTCGGTTCGAGTTTTTTGGTTGCTCAGATTTGAGTGACGATTTTAGAGTTCAAAGTCTCGAGATAGGAATTGAGCCGACGAAGTGCTATTTGAGGTCTCTGGCTTTCCATGGTTCGAGCCCGACATTTAATTTTGGAATTCCGGAATTTTGTTCAATAAATTAAGGTCCATCTCTCAAACTTGTTCTTAACTTCATACATTATTGTTAATTTTAATAAATGTTAAATCAAGTTTATGCTTATTTTGTGACTAACTAAATATTTATGTCATCTTCAAGATAGCTCTAGCCTGAATGCCATGATATTTGAGTTTGTTAAAAATTAATTTTCAAAATTTTCCGTGTATTGTTGTAATGTGAATATAACTATCTTTGGATCTGTTATCTGTTGTCGTTTTTTTTAAGTTTTATATTAAAATTAAACGTTGATATAGCTGTAATGGAAGTCATTTTCCCCATGAAAGAAAGGTAACTCCAGATCTAGTAGTAGATGAACTTCTCTAATTTCAGGAAACACATCTTTTTAAGCTACTGCTTAACAACTGAGTTTGAAGTCTTTGCTATCTTCTTGCTTGGATATGGATTCTATTATCAAACAATAGCATTGCTTTCTCTCTTTGTGTGCTATTTGTGTGTGTATGGAGGGTGCAGAACTAAAACAATTTGTTAATATGATGTTGTTAGTGCTTTGGGCATTAATCTGGTGTCGTGAATTATATTTGGGCATATCTTTGGGGCTTGTCTCTTAGTTACACTCTAGCTCTATATCAGTGGTATGAGAAAATTAAATAATTAATTGCGCTAGTTGCTTTAGGCGCGATTAACAATAATCATAGTGGCTATGAGTACGGTTCCCGTGGCATGGTCGCGATACGTAAATCTCAATTCGGGTGTGCATTTCATGTGACCCTACCATGATTTTGAATAATAATAATAAAATTAAACACGTTGTAGATCGTGGGTACGGTTCTCGTGACGCAATTCGCAATGTGTACCAAATCGACAAGTGTACGACAATCATGCCTTGTTCTAGAAAATAATTTCATAAATAATTAAAAGTGTTAGAAGGAATAAAATGCACAATAGGTTTTAAACATGTGATTAATCAGATAATTAGGCCAATAATAATAATAATTGGGCGACCGTGCTAAAACCACGAAATCCGGAAATGCCTAACACCTTCTCTCGGGTTAACAGAATTCCTTACCCGGATTTCTACGTTCGCGGACTGTAAAACAGAGTCAAACTTCCTCGATTCGGAATTTTAAACCGGTGACTTGGGACACCATAAATTATCCCAAGTGGTGACTCTGAATAAATATAAATAATTACGTTTCGATAATGTCACTTTAATTGGAAAAACTCCCCTATACCCTTCCAGGGTAGAAAAAGAAGGTGTGACAGCTCTGGAGACACTGCTGGGGACAAGGACCCAGGATTTCTGATTTAGGGTTCAAGAATTCGAGCTTAGAATAATTGTTATATTTGGCTTTATTTATTATCTAATTTTATTTGCATGTTTGGGCCTAATATGCTAAATGCCGCTTTTTACCGCTTTGATATTATGTGAACTGTATATAAACTGTTGCAAAACCCTCTTTTTCTAATCTTCTAGGAAGTGCACGCTAGCGTGACTTTTTTTTGTTAGTGTCATACCCTAGTTTAGAATGAGGTTCGGACAATTTACAAAGCCGGATGATCTTTTGGTTACAGGTACGTTGCCCCTCCCCCACCCCCTACCCCCGGCTCGAGTTGTCCGCTGGGATAAGCCAAGTCTAGAACAATACACTCAGGTTTTAAACCTAGAAAAACATAGCCTCATGCCGGATCCCTAGTAGGAATGCTTGTTTGCTCACGTGCATTTGACTTTGGGGACTCAACACAGGGGTTGGGTCCGTCTAGGACATGTGTACCCAAAAATAAAAGACTATTCTGATGCATCATATGTGCTACATGTTGCAATCTTCAAGGGTAAAAGGGGTTATTTGGCGGACTAATGAGGGTTGAGGGTAAATGAGAAAGAAAATAGGGTGAAGTATAAAAATGAAGCAAATAGGGCCCAATTATGTTTTTCTTTCACATTTTTTTTAAGAAAAAGACAAAAAAAAACATGAAAAATCCAAAAAAAATTGCACTTTCCCATCATTTTCCAAAAAAAGGAAAAAAAAAAGGAAAAAAAAATCCAAAAAAAGTTTACATGTTTCATCATTTTTCAAAAAAAAAAAAGGCAAAAAAAATATATTTTTTAAATTATTTGTTAATTTTTAAGTCTCGCCCGTATCCAATTTTCCCGAACTATGCGAACTGGATTCTCGTCTCTCGGGGCAGGATACGTAGGCAACCCACATATGATCCGGTCTTCTTAGTGAGTCTTAGGTTATTGGCTTCGAGGGTCGTAGCCAAATCTTGCATGTCTAGCCACTTTTGGCCACATCGGTCGTTTTGCAAAATAGGGCTATTTTAGCAAAGTGTTTTATTGAATTGTGTCGGGAGAGTCTCTAATCCACAATTAGGTGTCTATTTACCTTAATTTTCATCCTTATCAAATTTGCATGTCTAGCCGCTTTTGGCCACATAGGCCATTTTGCAAAATAGGGCTATTTTTGCAAAAGTGGTTCAATTAACCCATGTCTTAGAGTCCTAAGTCCACAATAAGGCGTTCTCTCTGTTTAGGGTCCATTATGTTGAATTTGCAATGTTTAGCCATTTTCTGGCCACACAAGCCATTTCTACAAAACGGGTCATTTCGGCAAAGTGATTTTCCCATGTCTTTGAGGTCACCTTTGTCGAGTTTGCACTAATAGAAACTTTTGGTCATGTAGGCCATTTTGCAAAAAATAGCCCCAATCATGTATTGCATGTGTCCAACAGGAAGTGTTATTGTCTCACATAGTGTTCTAGGTATTTAACTTTATTTGTTCTTAATTTTCTCATACAGGTGTGAATCTACTTACCGGAGTTTGAGCATGATAGACACCCCGGAACCATCCAGTCAGGACCGCTGCATTTAGGAGCTGCTTAAGGAGATTTTTTTTTTATATATGTTTTGAGTTTGTCTTCCTTTTATGTTGTCTTTTACTTTCAGTCCTTTCTAATAGTACTAAGTCTTTTAGGTGGTGTCAGAATCTATCATAGTCTAGCTGAGTTTGTTGAATCTTTTGTTATCGTATTTCTGATTCTGTATTAAAAAAAAAGGTTGTAAATGAATAATCCAAAAAGATTTTATTTTTTTAGTTTAATTTATCCATTACTTTTCCGAATTATGCAAAGATCTGATTCATACGACGTCATGATACGTATGCAACCTACATAGGGTTCGATCGAATCATTTTTTTAGTTAAAAGAAAAAGAAAAAAAGGAAAAAAAGAGAGAGATGAAATTATGGGATGTGAGAAATGAGAGGAGAGAAAAGAGTAATAATTAGAAGAAAAAAAAAGAGGAAGGAAAATGAGCAAGCCAAGAAGTGCTAGAAAAGAAAAGAAAAAGAAGGTTGAAATGAACAAATTGGGATGATGCCATACGACCTTCATACCCTCGAAGTCATTTTAGAACCAATAACTGTGACTAGGTGCATTGCACATAATGTGAGATTATCTTTTGTTAAATTCCTTAACGCTAACGTGATGACTTCATTTTGTTCCTCTTTGTTATTTTAATAAAGCAAAAGGGTGGTTGGTTTGTGGTTCTTAAAGTGGTAACTCTTCTCTACAATATAAAGTTGAAAGGCAATGACAGATGACAACAGAATTGAGTTGGTTGATACTGGTGTTCAAATACAATTGGTTGAACATGATAATGGGTTGGTTGAAGAGGTAAGGATGTTGAGACAATACATGACGGACATGTATCGGGTTTGGATGACTAGTAAGGCAGCACCCCCGCTACCACCTAGCTTCCTAGATGCTACCCTTACCCAAACTCCGGTTATAGTACCAGATGATCCCCCATACTCTCTAGATTCTCCCGCTTATCACAACTTTCCCAACCACCCTAGTAGCTCCCTCACTCGTCCTCCAACTGCTTTTCCCAAAAATTGCCCTCCCGTCATATCCATTATCCCCATGATCACAACTTCTCAATAATCTTCCCTTCATAGATCCAACAATGAACACCTACTCAAAACTCCTGATGCCCAATATTACCCCTCAGAGGTTGCCCACAAGGGCTCTGACTCATACAATCATAGCCCTCAGAATGAGCCTCATGTTGAAAATGAAAAGTTCACAGGAAAAGAAGGGCGAGATGAGATATCCAGGAAGCTGAAAGGTATAGAATAGTCCTGAAGGAGCATGCAAGATATGTAAAATCAGATTAACATGTCTTACAATGACTTGTGTATGTTCCCTGATGTTTATCCGCCCGCGGGGTTTAAATGCCAAAGTTTAACTTGAATGATGGGCGTGGAGATCTAGTAGCCCATCTGAGGGGTTATTGCAGTGAAATGAGAAGTGTTGGAAGGAAAGATGATTTGTTGATGACATATTTCAGTGGCAGTTTGAGTGGGGCAGTCTTGGAATGGTATACTCGTCAATATGTCAAGAAGTGGCATGCATGGGATGACATGGCTCAAGATTTGGTTCGAAACTTTCAGTACAATCTAGACATTATCCCAGACCGCTCCTCCTTATCTAAGATGGAAAAGAAACCCGAGGAAAGTTTTAGGGAGTTTGGGATCAGATAGAGGGAACAAGCTACTCGAGTCAGCCCCTCGGTTGGTGAAGAAGAAATGATTGAGCTTTTCCTACAAGCCTAGGGGCCCACCTACTTCAGTCATTTGATCCCGGCCTTGGGTAAACCTTTCAATGATGTGGTAAAAATGGGGGAGGTGGTAGAGGAAGGAATCAAGTCAGGCAAAATCATGAGTTATTCTGTATTGAAAGATATTAGAGAAGACATTCAGAACATCTCAGTAAGTTTGAGTGGAAGAAAGAGAAATAGAAAAGATGTTGAGCCATGCCAACGACAGATCCAGTGGACATTCCTGCTCAACGCTTTCAGCCTCAATATCGACCCCATGGATATCCCTATGCTCCAGAGAATCCTCCCCAATGCTACTTCTCTCCACACAATCCCCAAATTCATACCTCACTTTCCTAGTACTCCATCCACAATGCACCGCCATATACTCCACATCCACAAGACCCGTAATGGCTTGCACCGTCTCTTCAAATGTCTTACCTACCTCTACAAGCATATCAACCACTTGCCCGCAAGAGGTTCCAGTCGAGGTCGGAGTACAAAATGAAAAGGCACCAACAAAGAAAAAAGTCTTTCACTCCTATTGGAGAATCATATGCCAGCTTGTTCCAAAGATTGAGGCAATCAGGCATGTTGAAGCCGATTCAGATAAAAATGTCGAACCCCCTTCCAGAGAATTTTGATTATTCTTAGAGGTGCACATATTGCTCAAGTCCCCCGAGGCACAGTATAGAAAAGTGTTGGCATCTGAAAAGAGCAGTCCAAAAGCTTATTGATGCAGGTGACATTACCGTGTAAAATCCAGGTGCAGCGGATACTAGCCAAAGTTCATTGCCTATTCATAACGAGACACATATGGTGGGAATGATTTGTGTTGAAAATGAATATGAGAACTCTTCTGAGCTTCTTGGAGGGCCACTTGTCGCAAAGTCTTCAGCGCTATCAGTCTCAGTTCCCAAAGTTGATCTTAAGAGAGAATTGGCAAAAGGGACCCAAAAGCTATTTGCTCAGGTCAATGTGATTGAAATTGGTAATGGTATTGATAATATTGATGTGGAACTCAGTGGCTAAGATGTCAAGCTTGGTAATTGGAAAGACGCTCCTTTCTTGGCTAGCCCGGGGAGTCCTGGTGGTTTATTTTATTGTCATTTCTGTTGTTTGGGTTATTTCAGGGTTGTAATCCGGATATTGTCTTGTGACTCAAACCCTTATATCCTTTTATTTTGCCTAGTTCATTTGGTCGCAGTAACTCGTTTAGTGTTATCTAGGTTTTTTCCAGGGTCGTAACCTATATTTATTTCGCGTGTTTCGTTGTTCAAACCTTTCACCGTCTTTCTAATATAATTTTTTGTTTTCTGCTATTTCTAGTCATTTTTTGTTAGTTATCTTCTCCTTTTATAGTTCTTTTCATGCTGGCTCTAGTGACATGATATGCATGCATAATTCTAGGTTTGGTCTTAAAAGTTAGTTTAATCACAAAACAATAAAATAATTTTGAAGATGATAGGGATATTTAAGGGAAATAAGCACAGATTTGGACATTTTGAGATCATTTAAAGTCCGAACTGTGTGAAACTGGGGCAGATAATTTTGGAAGTTAATAAGATGACAAAAAGTCGTTAAAGGAGAGTGCATCCTAGACAATTTGAAGCGAGCAGTTTTGAGTTCAAGTGCACCTCAATTTACAAGATAAAGTCAAGAGAGTTTGCTCCGAATTGACGGAGGATATCCATTGTGAAGAGGGAATCACCCAACGAGAGTTTTGTACTTGACAAGGCACTAAAAAGTGGAAGGCATATCAGTGATATCAATGTCGAAGCTGCAAAAGAAATATTGTGCATGATCTTCAATTTTCATCCTCAAGTTGCAGGTATTGTACTTGGCATTTTCAGAGACTGGGAGGCCCTCTTTCAGCTACCCAAATACTGTATACCATTCGGTACCCCTTTTGAGCCTGTGCTAATTTTCTTGACCTTCCCTCTTTTGAAATCAAGTCAGAGTCATAAAAAGAAAGAAAAAAAAGTTCATGTCCCCATAGGTTTGTTTTAGAAAGTTTATTCTAAAAGAAAAGTCAAAAAGAAAAAAAAAATCAAAAGAGAAAATAGAAAAGAAGAAAAAGAAAAAAATAAAAAAGAAGAAAAAACAGCCTTACGAACTACGTTTGACCTGATTCTTGTCACCAAAAGATACGTAGGCAGCTTTACGGTTCGGTCACACCAAATAAAATATTTCATAATCCTACGAAGTCGAAAGTGGGGCAGTCTTTCTTAGAAATTCCATCTCAAAAAGAAAAAGAAAAAAAGAGAATCAAACTTCCTTATTTTAGAAATTGAGGCAAAGTTTTTATAATGGATTCCAAGAGTTGTAAATAAGTTAACCCTGTTATCTTAGTTATTTTGAGCCTTTATGATATCATTTATTTCTAATCCTGTCCAAAAGCTATATTACAGTCCAAAAAAGACCTCCCAGATAATCTTTGAGAGTTCTGAGTCAGACATGCCAGGAGCATATGATATTTCTATCGTGGTTAATGCCTTGTCATCTGCAGAATCAGAAGAAAAAGAAGAAAAGAAAAAATGAGAGTCTTATTGGTGAAAACCTTCGCAGGCACCATAAGGCGACGGTAAGTTGAGAGAAAGAACAAAATGAGAGAGGCTTGATGGTGAAAACCCTTCGGGCACTATAAGTCGAATAAGGACCGTGAATCAGATATGGCAATCGGAGCATGGAAGCCCAGTTTCACGACTTAGAGGTACAACAAGAGTTGAACATTAGACTTGTTTGATAGATTAGGCAACTTAATACAAAGGTACATGTCATGGTCATTAGAGTTGGTATCCACATCTGATAAGTTTCTACTTTATAGTTTTTTTTGTTAGGTGTCATCTCTTTCCATTATCCCTTATTCTGTTCCCTTTGTTTTGTTTACTTCCTCTTCTTGAGTCTGTTTGGTCAGAACAAGTGAGAAATGACTTCAAAATTTGCTACCAACCTTCCAATTGCACAAAACGGAATCTGGCTAGCACATCAAAGCGGCATAAGTTAGGAAAGAACAGTATGCGCGCTGAGTGGGTGGAAGTTGACGTGCTTTGGGATTCATGTGAAATACAAAGGTTCGGTATATGTCAATTCATGATCACAATACAACATATAAAGGGCTTGCGTTTGAACAGATTAGAGGTATTTTCTGTGATAAGGGTGACAGAGAAAGTGGTTAGTCAATAAACAAGGTCTTTCGAGTTGAAATCAAAGTTATCATGGGAAGTGAAGGAGCAACCGCACCCAAAATCAAGGTCATAAGCCAACCACCATGTTTAAACTCACAAGTTTTCTTTGTTTGAAACAGGGACGAAGACTATGTCCAAATCAAAGCTTGGAAGCTTGAATTTTTCAAGTGTCGTGCCCAAATTTTGTCAGCATAAATGCGGTTTGAGAAGGGGAAAGAAAATTTGTTCGATTTGTAGGAACCCTCCATGAGAAAAGCATGGTTCAGGGGCAAGGAATTTTGCTCATTCTGCAGAGATTCTCCAGGAA